TAGATATTCCCCCCCCCCACTGACAGTGGTTTCCACCTAGGTCCTCTGTTCCAGCGGGAACAGATGTTTAATCCCATTGGTCAAAGGGTCTGACAGATCCCTTTAAAAGGAGCTGCTGTCCGACCCTTCTTCACCGGATGTTTACCAGACTTGCAATAAAGAGCTGTTGTTACTGGAGCCTTGGTTGCCTATCCTTTACCCGATCTAACACTGGCAACAAAGGTGGGATTGGAAGGCAACTAGGCGAACAAAAAGAGCAAAAGAGATTCTGCAAGTACATCCAGCCTGGAGTTTCCTGTGCGGCATTGAGCGAGCCATCACTGAACGGCGAAATTGAATCAGGATGGCTATGCACGCCCCACCAACTCCATATGATCCAGCCACCGAGCACTGAGAATTGTATATGCTACGATTCAAGTGTTTTCTTGAGGCAAACGAGCTCACAAGCGTTCCCGAAGGCCATAAAAAGAACATGTATCTCAGTTATTGTGGCCGGGCTCCAAGCGGTGTCCTGGTCTGCACTACAACAGACACTGAAGACCCACTATGCGCCCAAGCGTCCAAGTACGTTCGGCGGCATGAATTTAACATCCGAAACCAGATGGAGGGCGAATCAATCAATGAGTATGTGGTGGCACTCCGGAAAGCCGCAGTGTACTGCGAGTTCCGAGACCTGGATGAGCTGATTCTGGACTGCATAATTTGCGGCATGCGAGACATTACCCTTCAGAGGAGGCTACCCGCTAAATCTAACCTCTCTCTGCAGATCGCACTAGACAAGGCTAGGGCATCTGAATCAGCCGCCAAATCAACAGAGACTCTACAGCGCCAGAGCGCACCTCAAGATGCACAGAAAAGTACCCGTGTACATCGCGAGACTACCAAGCCCGAGGACTCTGAAAGCAAGGACGATGACAGCTACTGCATGCGCAGTAGCCGCACCAAGCTGGCGCAAAAATTCAATTCGCAAGTTCCGCCCTGTGCCAGCTGTGGAAGAGACCATGCCTGACCGTCCTGCCAATTTCGCGAAGCAACTTGCCAATGGTGCGAGTGGAAGGGGCACATCGCCAAGGTGTGCCACAGCGATTTCCCTACCGCCACCAGACTGCCCAAAAATACACAAAGTCGTCAACAGAGGCCAAAACCAGGAGCCTGGCAGAAGTACCCACGACAGTCTGAAGGTGAGAATAGAGTCGCCAATCATACATCAGTTAGACAAGTCCGCTCTGGGTGCCCCAGAGAGCTGAAAGTCACTGTCCTCATCGAGGACTCTCCATGTAAGATGGAGATCGACACAGGGTCATCACTGACCATAATGCTGTGGTCAGTCCTCAAGCAAGCGATTCCAAAGCTACAGAAGCGGCACCTCCAAAACCCTGACATCCGCCTCCACGATTACCAGGGAAAGCAGGTCCCCATCGTTGGCCAAGGCACCATCCAGGTAAACTACAAACACTTCTGCAAAAACCTTCCCGTGACGGTGGTCAGCGGCAACCTTCAGAGCCTCCTGGGGCTTGATTGGTTCCAAGCTTTGGGAATGGAGGTGACAGGAATCAACTCCATGATGGACGAAGGCACTGAATCCATCTTTAAGGAGTTCGAGGATGTTTTTGGCACCAGTCTGGGTAAGTACAAGGGAACCCCAATTTTTTTTAACTTGGACCCAACTATAGCCCCAGTTAGGCTAAAACCCAGGAGAGTACCTTTCGCTCTCTGTCCTAAAATTGACAAAGAAATTGACAAGCTTGTGAGCCAGGGCATCCTAGAGCCAGTCGATCACGCACACTGGGAGACTCCTATTGTGACACCTGTTAAATCTGAGGGGTCTGTCCGCATCTGCGCAGACTATGTGCACAATAAATAAGGCGTTACAACAAAGTGGCTACCCTGTACCCATTGTACAGCACCTACTACATTCGCTTGGCTCAGGAAAAGTCTTTGCAAAATTGGACATGGCGTAGGCATACCAACAATTGCCAGTAGATGGCACTTAAAAAAGAAAAATGTCAGATTAATGTACCAAAGGTTGAATTCCTCGGGTACCTGATCGATGGGTCTGGAATCCACCCGACCTTACAAAAAATTAAAGCTATTCAGGATGCCCCCACACACCTCGCAATCAGATCGAACTGCAGGCATTCCTCGGGCTCCTTAATTTCTACAGCGTCTTTCTCAAACAGAAAGCCACCATTGCTGAACCATTACATCACCTCCTGGCCAAGAACGCAAAGTGGTCTTGGGGCAAAGCCGAGACTACCGTGTTTGCAGCAGTAAACTGACTTTTGTCAGTGGATTCTTTCCTAGTCCAATACAGCCAGACCCTACCGTTGGTCTTAACCTGTGATGCTTCCCCTTTTGGTGTTGGCGCTGTCCTCAGCCACCGCATGCCTAACGGCACCGAAGCCCCTATTGCATTTTACTCCAGAACCTTGTCCGCCATGGAGCAAAACTACAGCCAATTGGACCGCGAGGCTTTGGCTGCAGTGGCCGGAGTAAAAAGGTTCCACAAATATTTTTACAGCTGGGATTTCGAACTGATTATGGACCACAAACCATTCTTGGGGTTACTCACGGGGGATTGCCCTACCCCGGTATCATTATCCCCCTCACATGACCAGGTGGACCATTTTCCTGGCTGCCTACTCCTATCATCTCATTCACCGACCTGGCTCCACTTTAGGGCACGTGGATGCATTGAGCCGCTGCCCATTGCCTGAAATTCTCACTGACCCCACCCCCAAGATGCCGGTCCTTCTCATTGACTGCCTGGAAACCAGACCTGTCTCATCCAGTGTCATTGCACGCCACTCTGTGGAGAACTCCACAATAAAACAAATGTTGAACTGGGTGTGGAGGGGGTGGCCCAAGGGGCCTGTTGGGGCTGGTTTCAAAATGTACTTTGCCAAACGCGATGAGTTGTCGGTTGTTAATGGTTGTTTACTGTGGTGTAGTTATTCCCACCAAACTGCGTATTGCAGTATTAGAAGCTTAACACGTAGGGCACCCCGGAATCGTCAGAATGAAGCCTCTGGCAAGGAGTTACATATGGTGGCCCAACATGGATAGGGAAATTGAAGAATGGGTGGCTACCTGCACACCATGCCAGGAGTCCAGACCGTCTCCCCCAGAGGCGCCCACTAAGGAGTGGGAGCGACCTCAAGCCCTGTGGTCCAGGGTCCACATTGACATTGCTGGCCCAGTACATGGCCAGACATTCTTTGTAGTTGTAGACACTTACTCGAAATGGTTAGAAGTAGTCCTGATGACCTCCACTACGGAAGAAGTGGTCATCAAGGTATTACAGAAACGTTTCTCCACACACGGCCTCCCCAACATCCTGGTCTCTGACAATGGCCCCCAAGTTACGGCCATACCATTCGAGACCTTCCTAGCATCTCAGGGAATCAGGCGTGCATGGTCGCGCCATTCCATCCGGCCTCCAATGGCCAGGCGGAGAGAATGGTGAGATCTGCAAAAGAGGCCCTTGCTAGGATGGGCCCGGGTGATTGGCAAACATGGATTGACCACTATCTACTGATCCAACACATCACACCCAGTGCCACCACTGGGAGAAGCTCCTCTGAGCTTCTCATGGGGTGCCGCCTAAGATCACACTTAGACTGGTTACATCCAAATTATTCTACCTCATCACCCCCAGACTCCACAAGCAAGGTTCGATCTTTTACCATAGGAGGTTCGGTATACACCTACAACTACACCGGGGGAATGCTGTGGATTCCTACATTACCGATTCTTGATCATATCTGGTAGAGCTCGAGGATGGTAGAAATTGGAGAAGGCATATTGACCAACTCTGTAGCCGCATTTCCAACTCCACGCTTAGACAACCAATGGTAACTTCCTGCATGAACTAGCCAAAGCCCTATCCAAACAGAACAAAATTGCAATCCTTCCACGTCCAACTCAAGCCTGAGAATACCGGAAGACTTATCTGATTTTGATGCAGGCCCTCAGCGAGCTCCAAGGGAGTCAACTCCAGACAATCCAGCTGCGGCCTGTGGAAAGTTCCAGGAGTTTCCACCAGGCAGTGTTGCGGAGCGAACAAGTCTGTCCGACTTGTCCAAAGGAACCACTCCTACTGAACTGTGCAGGTTAGGCAGAGCTACGCAAAAGCCCGCCTACCTGCGTGACTACATCACCAGTTGGGTTGTTCTACCCTACAGGGGAGGGCTGTTAGATACCCCCCCCTCAACTGACAGTGGTTTCCACCTAGGTCCTCTGTTCCGGTGGGAACAGAAGTTTAATCCCATTGGTCAAAGGGTCTGACAGGGGCTGCTGTCCGACCCTTTCTCACTGGATGTTTACCAGACTTGCAATAAAGAGCTGTTGTTACTGGAGCCTTGTGTGCCTATCCTTTACCTGATCTAATGAACAGTGAAAAATGTGGAACTAAAATAACATCTTAAAAAAACCCAAATTAATAAACACAGGCAGAACTAGCAGTATTGGAACTGGCAATGAAAACATCAAGACTTCTGCCTTTTAGGATCAACTCTCAACAATAAAAGAACACATACTCAAGAAATATGCCAGAATAGCACTAGATAGAGCAATAGCGAAGATCTTGCAAAAGATATTGAAATGCCATGAAAAGCCTATAAAGATCAAAATTGTTCAGGATGTGGTTTTTCCTGTGACACTCTATGGAAATGAAAGTTGAAGAAGAAGCCAGATAAGAAGACTATTGAGGCTGTTGAACTTTGGTATTGGAGAAGACTCCTGAGAACAATATGGACAAGAAAACAAACCAATCAACCCAGAGCTCTCACTCAAAGCACAAATAGCCAGGATCAAATTATCTTGTTTGGACACATTATGCAAAGACCTGGCTCTCTGGAAAAGGCTCCAATGCTGGGAAAGATGGAAGGAAAGAGAAGAATAGGATGACCAGCAGCAGGATGGATAAACTCAGTTGTGTACCTGAAAGACCAGTTTAAGGATAAATCATCATGGAAAAAAAACTATTTAACTTGTTTAACTATTTATAAACATTTATGTGGCTGTCCCAACTCAGTTGAAGTGTCTCTGGGCAGCGTACAATCAAACTAAGAATTGTGTAAACTCCATAAAGCAATAAACATAGATAAAACAACAGTACAAGAAGGAAAATATTTACCTACAGTATAAGCGGCTTCCTATTGCCTGAGGCTCCAATGTGGTCTCTAGGAGTCAAAAACAACTTGCTGGCACATAATCATCAGTTTATGCATTCAAACATTCAAACATGACATATTTAGCATTTTTAGGGGGGAAAATGAAATGGCTATGATGAAGGAGACCTGGCTTGATAGTCACATATTGAAAAGGATCTGAGTTCTAGTAGAGCATAAGCTGAATTAGGCTATAGAACAAGGGTGTCAAACTCACATCATCATGCTTTCATCATATGATGTATCGTGACTTTTCTCCCTTCGTTAAACTGGATGTGGCGGGTGACCACTGTGTGACAAATCTGGCCCGTGGGCCGCGAGTTTGACATCCCTGCTATAGAAGGTAGGAGTGCTATTTATCCTCCAGTTCACTCCATTTGCAAGTAATTATCTTTGAAAAGATATGTGCTTATAAAGCCTTATCAAAAAGTAGAAAATTAGAGGTTCACAGAGACAACTGAAAGATAACAAGAGGGAAGATCATTTTTATGGCATGTTAGTTGCAATGTTGTTCATAAAGCTCCTGGTGAGCCTCTTTGAAGTATAGGTTGGATATTTCCAGACCAGGGGTTCAGTAATGTGTCTAAGGTCTCCACTTGGCTGAATCTCTGTCCCTTGTGTCATCTCTGCCAAACTTAATACACAGTTGAAAAAAAGATAAAGCAGCTGGTGGTAACCCGATCTTAGCGGAAGTGCTAAAAGCAAATGTGGATTGATGGACCTCAGTTTTGGTATCCCTGTTTTAATCTAGACTGCAAAAATTTAGATGACTCCCAGATACTCTCATTTTCTGTTTCAATTTGTGGCTCAGAAACAATATTCCTAGCTGATGATCTAC